AATAAAAATAAAATATTAGCAAAATTAGATATAATTAATCCAGATTTAACCATTAAGATAGCTGATATGCCTTGTAGTTTATTAGATAAACAAGAGTTTGAGTAGCAAATAAAAGAGTTTTTAAATTTAAAAGTAATTAGACATTCCAAGTCTAGACATAGATCAACAACATTTATTGTGAGAAAATATTTAGAATTAAAGAAAAGTAAGGTTAGAATAGTTTATAATTACAAGAGATTAAATGATAATACATATGAAGATAGCTATAAATTACCAAACAAGGATGAGTTCATAAATAAAATTCAAGAGAGTAAATATTTTAGTAAATTTGATTGTAAATCAGGGTTTTGGCAAATACGATTAGTAGAAGAATCAATTGAGTAGATAGCTTTTACTTGTCCAGAATGACATTTTGAGTGGCTTGTTATACTATTTGGACTTAAAAATGCTCCATCAATCTTTCAAAGAAAGATGGACCAAATTTTCAAGAAATATGATAAATTTTGTAGTGTTTATGTAGATGATATTTTAGTACATAGTAAAAATAGAAATGAACATAGGAAACACTTAGAAATAGTTTTACAAGAATTTATTAATAATGGAATTGTGATTAGCAAAAATAAAATAGCATTACAAAAGCAAGATATAGAATTTTTAGGAATGTATATCAAGTCAGATACAATACAATTACAAGATCATATAGCTAAAAAGGTCTTAAATTTTCCAGATAAGTTAGAAGACAAAAAACAGTTACAAGCATTTTTAAGATTGTTAAATTATGTAAGAAATTTTTTCCCTAATTTAGGAAGAAAAATAGCAATATTATACAGTAAAACTAACAAAACTGGACAAAAGTATTTTAATAGTGAATATATTAAATTAGTTAAAAATATAAAGGATGAAATTATTCAACTTAAGCCATTAACATTACCATTAGATGATAGTTACAAAATTGTCGAAACAGTTGTTGCATCATTAGGATGGATAGGTATACTATACCAAAAAAAACATAAGTATTCACAAAAGTCTGATGAACAAGTTTGTAGATATTCATCAGGAAAATTTAGTGATGTACAATCCAGATTACCATCAACAGACTTGGAAATTTTAAGAATAATTAACTCACTCGAAGCATTCTCTTTATTTTTACATAATGAAGTATGTACGATTAGAACAAATTGTCAAAATATAGTTTCTCATTATAACAAAATACTTGTTAATAAACAGGCAGCCTGAAGATGGGTTAATTTTGTTGATTCAATTACAGGAAATGGTTTTAAACCAATTTTTTAATATATAAAAGGTAATGACAATACATTAGCTGATATCTTATCAAGATCAATGCTTTGAACAGGAATGAAATATCGTGAACCATCATCTTCAAATGACACAAGACCATAAGGCAGAAGAACACCTTTCAATAGCATAATGATGCACCATGGACCTTCACCATTCAATTGATTCCAAAATAGCATAAGCAGACCAACATCATCACTAGTACCCACTTTCAATTTTAATGGCAATATTGTTGAAGGAATCAGAAATCCAATTCTGAGGTATATGACAAGGATACCAAAACTCTCTAATAAGTAACGGGCTCTCTTAGATAATTTTTGGAACATCCAAATTAAACAGTCAAGCATGAGGTTATGTCATGAGAAACTAATTAGAGCCTTAGAACAGGAGTTTGATAGTTTTAATTTCAATTTCCATCAAAGTCGGCATTATATTCATTCTCTTGAGCACAACCTTCAAGTCATTTCTAGAGATCATGAGTCATTACTTAGTAAGTTTACCTTCAAGTCATTACTTAGTAAGTTTACCAAAATGAACCAAGAACTCCAATCTCCTAGAATGCAGCAAAAGGCAAGTGACACCTTGAAAAGAGAATTGAAAATAGGTTTGGAAACAATTGATTAGTATAAGAATAAAGAAAAAGAGGTTATTGAACCTATAAGACAAGAGGCTAATAAGCCCATGGATGAAATTAAGATTGAACTCTTACAAGAAGACATTGAAATGGAGTATCATCAAAATAATGAGCAGCATCAGCATCTGAGTGACAAAGAAAAATAAGAAAAATATGAAAGTTTTCTTAGGAATTTACATTTAGACTTAATATTAGATGATATTTTATTAGAAGAAATTTCAAAAGCAAAATTAAGAATAATGCCACCAGACATGCAAAATGAAATCCTGAGCAGAATATCACAGTCCATGAAAGAATTACAATTACAATTACAATGTGCTTTGTATTAGTCAATCCTTGATCCAAAACCAAAGATGAATATTATTACAAAGATGTATCCACCATGTCTTTGTGATAATATAGTGAATTGTATTTGTAGACCAGATGTTAGTATAGCTGTGGCCAGGATTAACATGAGAGATTTTAGATCATGGCATTTTAGTTATGAGCATCAGAAAAAGCATAATGTGGTAGAAGTTATCCCTGCTTCACTATTAGAGTTTGACTATCTTGATAAAATATTCATTAATCATGTTTCCCAACTAGAATCATTTCCTGAAAAACTTATGAAAGTAGCAGAAGATTATCTGGAAAAGTGGAAAGAAATTTGCATAAGTTTTATTCGTAGTCCTCCAGATTGGTATGTACATATGTATAAGAAGAAAGCTAAGCATATAAATATGATTAATGAAGAGTCCTTTAGACCATACCCTATCACTCTACACAGATGGACTTCTTCATACAACAATATTCTAAAATTTCAAGGGATCCAAATGTTTGCCTTAGATGAATTTGAAGATTTTAGGTATGATATGAAATTAGTACCAGAAGAAGAAGAAATGCATATTTACAGCAAGTCAAAAGCCCACCATCAGCCATACTGGAAGCCTCAAAATTTCAATGGAGAAACAGAATGTATTACAAGGTGAAAGAAGATAGAGAAAGAGACACAGAGTTAGTAGAAGACGATGAACAGTACTGAAACAATTTGACAAAAGAGGAGCTGCATAACATCGACAACATGATGGAAGCATGAAAAGTTGGCAGCAAATTAGCATAAGTTGAATAGCATCATGTAAAATAATGTATTTCTAGATAGAAATGTCAACATCATTGTGAATCGCTTTTAATGGCATAAGAGTAAATAAAGAAAAGAGCTTGACCCATTATAGACTTTTCATACACAAAATGTCCTTTTGATTAAGAATGAATAGTGTCAAGCCCTTTCGTTAAAACTCCCTTAAATCAAAGGCATCTACGATACGACGAAATACCCTTAATTTCACTTAATAAGTGACACAGCTAATAGGAAAGGGAGAGAATTGGACAATTGAAACTTAAAACTAATGCATTAAATCAAAGACTTATACGGTACAAAATGAACGAAAATACCCTTAATTTCACAAAATAAGTGACAAAACTAACTGGTTGGGGAGAGCATTGGACAATGCTTGGCTCCTTACATGTGAAGTTCATTTGATTAAAATACTATTTAGTCGTCCATGTGAATCAAACGCATTGAAAGTTCACCATTAAGATGTTATATGTCGTCGTAAATGTTGATCAGTTTTTCTACATAGTTTTTGGATGATGAGAAAGAGTATTAATGGGTTATAATCATGAAGTCTGTATGGTTAAATGATTGTCATGAACGATTGAGGGGGCTTAAAACAGAATTGACTCAATTGAGAGTTTACATGCCCAAGTGGAATGAAAAAAAAGTTCGGCTTAGGCTGCTTAGCTAATGCTTCTTAGGGTTGTGAATCAGTTTGAAACAGCTCAAACTTGCACCTGTTCGGCTCGATAACAAACAAGTTAAGCTTTAATATTGATATATTCTTCAAGTCTCCTAAGTAGCTCATACTTTTTCACGAGACAACTCAAGCTACATACTATTCAAGAAGTTTGTTTGTAATGAAAAATCATGTTTGAGATTTTTATTTCGAATAATTATGTGTACTATTTTTCTTAAGATTATATAAACTATTTTCAGTTTGGACAAGGATTGATATTATGTTCCCACCCACCCCCCCCCCCCCCTCCTCTCTCCTCCTCTTGTCTTGTTTAGTTTCTAAAAGTTGAACCACTTTTTTATGACAAGTTCATTGTAAGACTAGCCTACTCCCCTATCCTTTTAGTGTAAATACTGTCGTTTGTTCAAAAAAAATAAAAATAAAAATAAAAAAACTACCAAGCATAAAAAAGTTTGGGGCGTCCATAATATGTTGTTTATGTTTTATGTATCTTTTATTACAAAAATGTGTCGTCAAGTTGTGAACTTCTGCTACTAAAGCATACCAACTTAATATAATAGATAGCTTGATATAGTTTGAGCTTGGTATCGAGTTTGAAGTTTTTAAGCTCACTCGAGCTTGCATAAGAAGCAAACCAACACCTGGTTTGAGCTTGAAAAAAATTAAACAAACCAAGCCTTGAGCAAAATGTTATTCAATTTGGTTCAGCTCGTTTACAAACCTAAATGCTGCTAGTAGAGAATATGTCTTGTGGACCTAGTGGTCCCAATCCAACTGTCCAGGCTTCAAGGATGAACATCTAAGCCATTCAATTAGCAGCTTTTATTGGTGGAGACTGTAGAGATTCAATTCAATTAGAGATCATTGATCTTGCACTAGCAATTTGTCCCAATAGAGAAGTGACCGATGAGATGAGGGATTGGCCATCACCATTAACCACCAAGGCCCTCATGATCAAGCGTTGAAGACGATCACGAAGTGGGACCCACTCATCAACACTGAGATTGGGGCCCACATTTGAGTCTCTAAATATTATTCTCAAGTTCAGTGCCAACCAAACCAACCCACCGCATCAGTCACAAACCTTATTAGTTTCTGCCCTCGTTTCCTGCATTGAAGGGAGGACGATGTGAGAGAGAGGAGGGGGGGGGGGGGGGGGGGGAGGGTGTGGTGGAGCATTTACTCCACTACGTAGCCTACAGAGACATCCTCGTGCGTGGACTCACGCAATTGGTACGTAACCGGCCGCGATCAGAATAAAACCCTAGCTAATTTAATACAAAAACACCAATACATACCAAAAATAATATAAAACAATTTCTTAACCCACCACTACCACTACTATTCGGATTGCATTTACCCCATTTCATGAGGGGCGTGTCCCTCTTTTTATTTCTCTATCTGTCTGTAAGACTGTAACTACCCACCAACTCTTATATAACTTCCCCTCAACTTCCCTCCTTTCACCATCTTCCAAGTTTTTCTTAATTTCGTTTTCTCAAACCGCTCATCTCTCAGTCGATCGAGTACCCTATTATTGAAACAACTGTGTACATTTTTTAGACTGACTAGTGACCATAGCTTCTTTTTTATTATTCAAAACATGGTTTGCATGGAAAGTTTGCTTTGCGATGAGGTATGCCCTTCAAGCCCTGCAGTGACTACTGAACCTATCCCTGGCATTAACTTTGGTTCAAAAAGTTACTGTAGATCAATATCAATGTATACAACTAAGGAAGAGTATGAGCAGGCTCTGACCACATGCATGGAAAAGGAGAAGAGCTATATGCCTGAACCTAATTACCTCGATAACCTGTGTTCGAATAATTTGGTTATTGCTAGGTTAAAAAGCATTCAATGGTTCATCAAGGTCAATACACACACGCGCATATATATATATATATATATATACACACACGTATGTATATGTTTAAATTAAGTATATATCTGAAAATTATCATGGTAGTAGTGCCAAATATTTATTTAATTCTTTGGTTTGTGTTTTCAGTCTTCAAGTCGGTTGAACCTCTCCCCTGGAACTGTTTTTTATGCTGCAAATTACCTTGATCGGTTCATATCCACGAACCATTGCAATGTAAGGACTGCATGATATATAATGCTTTTAAGTTTAATTAATCCGAGTTGAAAGGAAATCTGTTTAATTAGTTATGTATTGGGCAAAATTGAAAGGAAATCTGACTTAATATCTATATACATGTATGTATTTTCAGGGATGGAAATATTGGATGGTGGAATTGGTGTCTATTGCCTGCTTATCTATTGCCTCCAAGTTCAGTGATACCTACAATCCTTCCCTGCTTGAAATTCAGGTGACAGCCTATTCGTTAATTATTTGCAATATTAATGAAGAATGACACCATTATTTGTTCCTGCAAAGGTTTAATTACTGTGTTGATTCATTGATCGCAGATGGAAGATCTGGAACATTTATTTGAGCCAAGCACAATCCAACGAGTGGAAATGATGGTGCTAAATGCATTAGGATGGCGCCTTGCTTCTACAACGGCTTACTCTTACCTAGAACTGTTCTCATGGTTTCTGGACTCATTGAAGCCCCAACTTCATGAAGAGATCATTGCCCTACTCAACAATTTGCTTCTTCGAGCTATTTCGGGTATGTTTTTTCGAACTTAATTATTCGATGTATGTATCCGGTATATCCATTATTAACTCTAAATTTCCTTTTTCCCAAGTGTTAGAAAGGCTTTTATTTCACACTTCTTCTAGATGATTTGCTCCTAAAGTATTGTAATAGTAATTAGTGTTGGTTAATTACTTAAATTACTTTGGATGCAACCCTATATATTATAAATGATTTATATAATTCAATCAATGAGATTCATAAAATTTACACCAAGTGATACTTATGAATTCTAAATTATCCTTTATTTTATACATTAATTTCTCAAATTTATAGAAACTCTTAAAACACTTGTACTACAAGTGGGTGGATTGCCCCTGTGAATAGAGTTTTTCTTTCAACTCATTACGTCCAGTGTTGAAGCTCTTCCCCTCTCTTTAATGTAACTTAGAGTAGTAGTATCGATTATAATTATAAAACTACTCAGTATTATTATTTTCTGATAGTACACATAATTAAGAAACAAAAATTATTATGAACTTTCCAGATTCCAAGTTTCTGGATTATAGGCCAAGTGTGGTTGCAATATCTGCTCTAAGGTGCAGTCTGGATAAGATACAACTTTCAGCAGCCATATCGGACAATGCCTACCTCACGTGTCTTACAAGTCTATTGGATAATTATCAAAAGGTCACTTAATTAATTTCAGTATCAAATTCCCTTTTTAATTTGCCCTTTTCTTTTGCTGATTAACATCTAACATTTTATTCATGGTACTGTTTTATTGACTGGTAATTTGTTCACTACTTGTATATTATAGGGCGAGTTGGTGAAGTGCCATAAGATGATGGAGGAGCAATATTCATCAGTTGATTGTCTGCACAGATTAAGAGATCACGGGGATTTCCATTACTGCCCTTCAAGTCCAACAACACAGTTCTGAAGGAAAGTATTAATTTTTATGATTTCCATGTTGATTTCTCTCTCTTTAAGATGAGAGATCAAAGTATGATCACTAATACAAGAGAAAGAGAGAAGATGACGAAACTAATTAAAAACATATATTCTTTTGGGGAATTTAACATATCAAACATTGGATTCTTGGATCCTCATCAATTTATGTTAAGAGTGTTTTTGGTAAACACCACACTCTTTTGAGTTTATTCAGACCCTTAAATTATTATTTTTCTGGTTGAACAATACTCTGAATTATTGTACAACTTATTTTTATTCATGGTTAAATATAAAAAATAAGAAGTAAAACATGTTCAAAAATAACAATGAACTCAATACAAATGTAAATATTAATTGCAAGATACGTAGATACAATCTGAAAATAAATATAAAAATTCAGAATATACTAAAATTTTGTTATCAAAATAAGTTCGGCAAATTTCGGGTAAAGTTAGATGGGAAATTCAAAAGCTTTTTATACATACCAATTTCCATCCACATTTTTTGAAATATTCGGATTTGGATCTAATCCAGCTTGGCACTCATGCCCTAAGTTTTAATATCCGACTACCCTTGACTAGTTATTTTTACTTGTCATCCCATTAATGTGGTCTAGTTATCTTAAAGCATCTTCTATGGGCTTCCAAAATGAGAATCTAACTAAAATTTAGGAAGAATTTGCAAAATACCATCTCTGATCACACTCGATCGTGCTCCTAGATTAGCAAAATGACTAAGAGCTCCTAAACATAAGGAATAAGGAGTGAAAAAGGAGTTCCTAAGGGCTCCTAGCATTAAACAAATATATTTTTTAAACAAACGATATTATCTGTTGTAGACATGTAAATTTTGTTGTATACAAATGATGCATCATAAAGCTCCATGTGGCATATAACTCATCACAAATTGATAAGTCATCAATGACATGTGGCACAAATCAAGCAAAGGAAGTTCAAAAGCATTCCTAAAATACGGCGAAGGGGAAGAAATCTCCTTAAAATCAGCAAGGGGCACAAATTGCTCCCAAAACCGGAATGAAAGCGAAAGCATCTTCACAAAACAAGCAAGAATTGAAGATTGCTCACAAAATAGGCAAGAAAGCCCTATAGATTTCGGCCAAGCAAGGGAAAGTGGCTGAAACTAAGACACAAAACATGCCTAAATTCTCCCATGGACAAATCAAGACACAAATCAAAGCCAAATCCATCCAAAGGCAAGTTTTGAGAAGTCTATAAATACAAGGACCTCAGACAAGCATAAAGGTTGACAATTTCCACATTGAAGGGTCGAAATTCTCACAAAAGGAGAACCTCTGCCAAATCTTTGAAGACTAATACGCTGCCAAAGCTCTCTTCAAAGAATGTACAACCAAAGTCGAAGCTTTCTTTCGACCAAAGCCGAAGCATTCCCTTGAAGAATCAGCAAGCATTTATGCTGATTCCTTCAAAACCTTGTTGCAAGCTTAAAACTTGTAACGACGTTCGATTCAAGATCAAGTTGTCAAGACCCTTGAATCAACAAAATCCCACATCAACATCACCTTTGTCGTAGGTCATACATAAACCTATAGGTAAAGACTATCCATGCATTGTTTCAAGCTCAAACCTTGAAGCAATCGTTCGATCGTTTGTCCGAGATCAAGTCATTGTGACCCTTAGATCAACAACCTATGCATCTACATCAAATTTGATGACTAAATCAGAGGAAAATTGTAAATAGAGATTGTAACTCTACAAATTCATCAATACAAATCTACTTTGTACATGTGTTCTCGTTTCATTCGTTATAAAATTTTTGTGTTTAAAAATTTGGCGCGCCCAATGGGACTTCTCTACCTCTCATCTATGTCTTCAAATCCACAAGAAACACACATGGCGTCAAGAAAGGATCAAGTTGTTCCAGGCAAAGAACAAGAACATCCTTGCCGCAAGTGGTCGCACTTTGGGCATCACAACCCAAAGCAAGGCAAGAGCTTTCTCTACTGTGCCTTCCAACCCTATATCAACTATGTCGAAAGAGCAAAAGCACCTGAGGCATGAGCCCTGTGATCACCCTGGCCTCGCTAAGGGTGCCAAGGGAAGAAAGCCCAATGAGGTACTCTGAGTCGTTGACTTCTAATGCCGACTCAAAAAGCACTCATATCCTGTAGTCATGACTACTGGTGCGACTTCAATCGAAAAACAGCTAGCATAAATGAGCGAAGTAATCGCAAGGCTGACAATGACCGTATAAAGACAGCTAGCACAAATGAGGAAAATGACTTATAGATTGCTACACTCGTCAACCGTCTAAAGGCTCAGCACAACGAGAAAGCTGACCTAAAAGTTGATCCACCAAAGGAGGAAACTTATGAAAAGGAAGAGCCTCTGATGGACAAAGCTGAGGAGAAGCTAGTGGTAAACCGAGCTACAACACTCATGGGATTTCTCTTTATCCAACAGCTGCAAAAGATGATCATAAGCACGATTAAGGCGCAATATGAAGGAAGCTCGTATGATTCCGTGCTGTACTTAAATCTATACTTTAAAAGGATTGACGCCTTGAGGATGCCAAAGGGTTATCAACTACCCAAATTCATGCAATTCGATGGAAATGGCAATCCTAAACAACATATTGGTCATTTTATTGAAACCTGCAACAATGCTGGGAAGAAGGGAGACTACCTTGTCAAGCAGTTCGTGCACTCCCTAAAAGGTAATGCATTTAACTGGTACACCGACCTCAAGCCTGAGTCTATCAACAGCTGGGACCAACTTGAAAATGAATTCCTTAACCGCTTCTACAACACTTGCTGCACTGTAAGCATGTTGGAGCTGACGAGTACGAAATAATGGAAAGATGAACCTGTCGTGGACAACATCAATAGTGGTGTTCATTAAGTCTGGATTGCAAAGATCGGTTTTCTGAAACCTTCGCCATTGAGATATGTGTCCAAGGCATGCACTGGAGGTTACATTACATCCTCCAAGGCATAAAACTAAGAGCATTTGAAGAATTGGCAACTCAATCCCATGATATGGAGCTGAGTATTGCCAATCATAGGAAGAAGGTGTTGATCATCGACTTCAAAAAGGATAAGATGTTCGCTCCAAAGGTAGACAAGACTTGGAAAAAGCCCGTCAAGGAATCTTTTGCCGTCCATACTACCCCCATCAAGACCCCATCCGTGCCCGTCAAGATCTCTTCCAAAAACAAAATGAAGAAGATGATGAGAGGTGAGCCTTCTTGCACCCAAGACAAGTGCAAAAACACCTTTAGGGAACTAAAGCAAAAGATGTACCCTTTTCCTGACTCTAACATGGCTGCAATGCTAGACGACTTATTGAAAAGATGTACCCTTTACATCCTCCAAGGCATAAAACTAAGAACATTTGAAGAATTGGCAACTCAATCCCATGATATGAAGCTGAGTATTGCCAATCATAGGAAAAAGGTGTCGATCATCGACTTCAAAAAGGATAAGATGTTCGCTCCAAAGGTAGACAAGACTTGGAAAAAGCCCGTCAAGGAATCTTTTGCCGTCCATACTACCCCCATCAAGACCTCATCTGTGCCCGTCAAGATCTCTTCCAAAAACAAAATGAAGGAGATGATGAGAGGTGAGCCTTCTTGCACCCAAGACAGGTGCAAAAACACCTTTAGGAAACTAGAGCAAAAGATGTACCTTTTTCCTGACTCTAACATGGCTGCAATGCTAGATGACTTGTTGGAAAAGATGGTGATTGAGAGTTACCTAAATGTAAACACCCCGAAGAGATGAATCGTGTTAACGATCCTAGGTACTGCAAATATCATCATATCATAAGTCATCCTATTGGTAAGTGCTTCATCCTCAAGGAGCTCATCATGAAGCTAGCACAACAAGGGTAAATCGAGCTTGGCCTTGAAGACACGGCCGCAACACATACTACTATGATTGCGTTTGGATCCTTCGATCATATGCCTCTCTAAGTGATGCCTAACCATTCTCGTCCATGCTTAAGCTACACAGCACCTTCTGCATAACAATCATTAAGGGCAAGCGACCAAAATATGTCTACCGACGATAAAGAAAGGTGGGCACTAGTGACCTACAAAAAGACAAGGAAGCCAAGACCACAAGCCACATAGCCAAAGGTGGAACAAGGGAGAAAGTACCTGCCGCTGCAACAATAAGAAGCCT